TTGCAATGAGCAGAAGTGTCAAGAACACTGTCATTTGTATATCATTAACATATCATTATCATATAATTATCATGAAAACGTGGTTCTCTGTGCATTTAAAATGAGTATGTCTGTAAAATGTAAATGTGTTAATTGTGTCAATTTAGAAGACCTCGCCCATCATTCTTATTGAGGTCAATTATGAATCATGAACTAGGCAATAGGATTCAAGCATACAGGTAAATAGATTTGAATTTTGAACAGTTTGAATTAATTTGGGCAGGAGTCAATCGCCAAGACTGAATGTGTATATTACATGTACAATGGAACATGAGAGAAATGTGCAAGGCATATACTTTTCATGTGGCCAGATACTATGAGTGTCTTGACTGGGAGCTAAATAATCAAAATAAACCTGTGTTTGATTAGAAATCAAGACAGTTTGCAGTTAGGTTTATCAGTAATTACATTTCTAAATGATTTGAATTTCTATGAAATTTCAGAGTGAAAATTGCCCGATTATTGCCCATGATTGTAAATAACTGTTAGTTCTAGTAGTTAATATGCCTGCATGAATGATTTTAGATTTTATCTAATTGTGGCTGAAAATATCTTTCCGCGAGTTAGGAAATATGGTGCAAATCTGAAAAGAGGGGGTCAGTAAATAGCCCCTTTGTCCATAAAAAGCCTTTGCTGAAACAAAGTTTGATCCAAGTTCTAATTAAGCTATTATAAATATTTTTTCTGAATAAAGGACTCCCATTTAAATTTCTAGCTACAGGCCTGCTGTATATTTTGTTTGCAAATGAACAACTTTGGCTGGCAAAATGTATGCATGCTATGTTTTGATATACGTCTGTAAATACGTAACAGATTTTCTTTTAGAATGTTACATGATGTTTAAGATATAGTCAGAAGTTTACGTTGAGGATGACCTACATTTACTGAATTGTTTCTAATTATACACATTTGTCTGCAGTGGGAGATTTTATTAGCATTAGTAATGTGGTGCTGTGAGTAGATTAAGGTAATGTCTCTTTTTCAAATAGTTACAGTGCCATAATTGCTATACATTATAAATTAAATGAAATTGAAGTTTAATTTTGAACCTGCTATTAAGAAAAGGTGAGTTGTTAAAGAAGGGAAAAGAATGTTGACATGGAAGATGTATAAGGGTCATACGTGTGTCTTTTTTTATATTCAAATTGTTCATTTATTTGTCTCCTTGTCAGTGTAAAAAACTGACATAAATTAATTGATGCTTTGTGTCGGCATTATTTTAAAGTATCAGTTTTGTATCAAAACTAAGTATCATAGAGTATAACATTAAATTATAACATTTCTTACTAAGGGTTAAGAAAGCTAGGATGGGCCACCAGATGTTTGGCTTGACAGGTTCTAAATGAAAGGGACCCCTGCTGTAGAATGGATCTATTTAATTATTTAGTACAATGTACTAGTATTTCAGCTATACAGATCTGTTAAGAACAGGTGTACAACCTTTATACTTGTATGTGATGACACAGTATGTGGCTTTTGTGTGAGAACAGTTATGAAACCAGGCTAGTTAACACTTATGCATGTTTCCAGGAGAGCACTTGTAGAAAAAAATATATATAGTTTGGAATTTCATAGGAGACGGGTATGATTGAATGAATGAATGAATGAATGAATGAACGAAAGAATGAATGAACAAATAAATGAATAAATAAATTAATGAAAAAATGTATGAATGAACAAACAAACAAGCAAAAAAATAAATAAATAAAGACAATAAATAAATAAATGAAAGCAAGAAGGGGTGTGTGGAAGCGTTAGAATTCTGTGCCCACTCCACCCCTCCAATCTGTCACTTACTAAACTGAAGTATATCAAAACCTAACCAATAAATAATATGCAATATATCTGAAACTTTTCCAGACTGATCCCCAGGGCACAAAGCAGCCGCCCCCTGCAGTCCCTGTGCGTAGCCCTGACACCAGACTGAGCACTGGAAGTATGTCGGAGCCACAGTCCAACACAGACAGAAAGGTATAAATGAGTCTTTTCTCAAGTACATAAAGGTGAAATTGATGTAATTTAATAACACAGTATCCCACCGAAGGGGCCGTAGCAATATTCTGAAGGTTCATTAGTCCAAAGGTTCATTGGTCCGAATGTTCACTATAGAACCCTCAGACCAATGAGCCCTAGATTGAAAAACCATTGAAAATGTTACCATTTTCAGACCAATGAACCTTCGGAGCATCGAGATGCCCCCCACCCCCCACCAAACATATTATTTGTAGAACTTAACTACCTTGACATGTAACATGCTGCTTCTAATTTTAAATTGTAACTATTTGATCAAGGCTGCTGCNCTTTTTTTCATTTTAGTTTTAATCATTCGTGTAACTGTTTAATAGAGTGCATTCAGAAAAGAGGACTATCAGATCTGTGAATCAGATATGGCAGTCACTAAAAAGCTTGCCGCTTAATTTCCAATTAGACATTGAATAGACTCCCTGCAGGGATTATGCAACAAACGTTCAAGTGGGTCGGCCATATTTGATCTGCGGATCTGTTAGTCTGCTGTTCTGAGTGTGCTCATAGGCTTCTAACCATGAAATTGTGTGTGATGTACATTTATGAGCTGTCTGCCTTGCTGCTGTGTTTATGATCTGTTCATGTATGTAATATGTATGTGTCATGTTTACGCAACATTTTGCTGAGATGGCTTCATTATTATCTGTTATGACCCATTTCCACGTTCTGGCAGCAACTTTTGACAGAATGTCAATTTCTGTAATGTTGTGTTGATAGAACCACCAATAAAATGTCCATCATATTAAGCCGTTATCAAGCAGTCATCAATAATTCGAGATGCCTCACATACTTAGTAATCACCGTAGACTCTGCTGTGTACAAAATTGCATGCAATATCAATTTTGTAGCTAATATTCCTGTCTCTTTTTTTTATCGTTGATTGCAAGTACTGGTAATATTCCTATCTCATTTTCATTGCTGATTGCAAGTAATATTCTGGTGTCACTTTGGTCGGGTTAAATGAAAAGGCTGTCTGAGCCAGAAAAACTTTTGTTTGTAATGTAAGCTTATATATGGATGAAGTATGAGTTATGTCACTGGTTACAGTGATAGACTGAAGTTGAGTAGATGGCCAAGTATTTGGTTGAATTCACGTGAGAAAAAAAGTTCAATTTTACTTCAAATTATTTCCTTGAGTTAATTTAGTGTCAGCTCCATGGGATTTTGCTGCCAAAATGTATTTTCCTAGAGTAAAGTTCAGTCATCTACTCACAAATTATTTCTTCACCCATCCCTGCAGTTGTATTTGATATTTTATTCCATTTTTAAGTTGCTTATTTAATTTATAATGATTGGCCCATCATTATAACTACATCTGCTGTCATGCAGATTTCCTCATTTTTACACAAGAAAGTGGCAGGGTGTTTTGTATCACGGCCCTGTGCCGTGTATAATACAGACGTTACAAGCTGGTAATGGCTAACCAACAGTGAAAAAGAAAAATGATAACAACACAAGGTACACTTCAGATACATTTTATCTGTATTGGGGAATATAAGAAGCTTTACTTGACATGAATATAATTAAAGTATTTCAAACATGTGAAGAGAATCTCTAGAAATTAATTTGTCAGGAAAATCCCATGGAGTGTACCTTTTAAGCATGCTTTCATTCTTAAAGAAATAGAACAATGTGTCTTTCATAGTTTGGTATATTTTTATCATGATTACCTATACACATTCTCTTTCTTTCTGCAAGACAAGTACTGTTGTTTGAAATGACCATGGACATACGTCCCCAACCAAGAGACCCTTTCTGGCAGTAGTTTCCCCTAGTAGAAAACATCACATAAAAGGGGATAAAGTGCTTTGGTACCATACCATTTTCACTTTCTAAATCTGCGCTGCCTGCCTGCAAAGCATTATAGCATCAAATATGCAGCAGATAAATGTGTGTTCTTAAACCACAAATGATCTCCATTAGGTAGCCTTCATATCTTGAATTGAATAATTGAAGGCAAATGTAGCATATATTATTGGCTATTCTGTTTTCTGTGTGAGTATGTAGGCGTGCAGGTCATTGAAGGGCCATCAGCCAGTTTAACATCTCACTTCTATAAAGTTGTATTCTCTGATAATGGCTTTTGAAGTGTTCTAATAATGCCCAAAATAACTGGAAAGTTCATCAGTGAGATACACACTTAAGTAGAGCGCAAAATATGCCATTATATTTCAGAATTAGGGAGAAAATATTTCATTATATTGACGGATGTAATGGCCACGTGTCCTTCAAAATTAGAAATGCCCACAGAAGAAATGCTCTATCTTCAACAATGGTTAATGCTAAAACATCCGTCCTGCTTCACAGAACTTGTATTGATTTCAACTCTGAGATAAATTGACTGGATCATTTAGTTGAACACTATTATTTGCTTAGTCAGGTGGTTTTTAGCTTAAGTCTGATTGTACTCGTGTATTGATAATACATCATGACTTAATTGCAATTCGAAATCCAAATAAATGTACTCCTGTTATAGATGAAAATTAACAACTTCATGGTAACAGTTTGTACAAATGTTTGCTAGAATAATTGGACTGCTTTATGTGGTGCCTAGAAAATACAATACTTGGTGACAAGTTATTTTGAAAAAAAAAATGTTGGGGAAAGTATACCTTTAGGAGTCATCCATTTTCATCATCATGTTTACAAGTCTACAAAGAGTAGGCTTGTTTCCATAGAGGACAAGGTGAAAAATAAAAAATGATTACCTTTGTCCAGCATACCCCCGTGGATTGAAGATCATCATTTTAATTATTTTTCCAAAGCGTACAGAGGGTATTAACCCTCTCCTTCCCCCACCCCCAGGGTATGGTTTGTGGACTTGTGAAAACAATGATAAAAATGGATGAAACCTTACTCAAAATACTTGAATGTGTATATATGATTATAAGTGAGTATGATACATATCATGTCTAAAATGTGTTTGTGTATTCCAGTATTGATCTCAGTAATTGTGATGCCAATGCCACAAAACATGTCTATATGATCCCGGATATTGAATTTAGAGAAAATCCAGTCATAAAATGGTGAGAAACATTTGTTTGTATTTATATATTGTTTCACTGAAAAAAGGTCTTGATATATGACTTAAAGACTAAATTACTGTGTGAAAGTCACATGCTACATTATGCTCCACAATCTATGGCTTTCGACAGCCAATAGAACCAAGAAATCAGGAAGCTATGATAAACCATAGGAAGATGATATTATAATCCACATTTCCTAGTGTTTACCATTGCGCAATGTTTCCTAGGTACTACATTCAGGTGCAAAATCACCATTCACTTGATCAAGGTCCATAGATATGTGACTCTCGTTGCTTTATCTCTCTGTCAAGAATTGCTCTGTTTTGCCATCTTATCTAGAGACCATGAGAAACCTTTTCCATAGAAAAAAAATTTAATTTTGGGTTTTGTGAACTAAGTGCAAAAAAATAATTGCCATTTGACTTGATTGTGTCAATACGGATTATTGCATATAGAGCAAGATCTATACTCTTTCAGAATGTGAAAGATAAAAGGGCACAGGCATGCAGTATCTTCATGAGTTGACACAGGGATGTTGACTTTGTGCATAGCTTATGATTCTTTATTGATAGACTGAATTATCCTTTTGTTGTTGCAAGTAATCTACGCCATATGAAATATCATTATTTTCTAAGAAATTCTTTCTTTGATGGACTTGTCACATATTTTGAGTGGTTTAAAATGAATTTAGATTGTGAAGTTTTATGTTATCCCTGAATTTTCCCTGTAATTGTTTTTAAGTATGTTAAAATTTAACTTTGCTTACAAATTATGTAACATTTGAAAAATTGAAGATTACTTTCACAGTGTTAAGAAGTCAAAAAGAGCCAAAGCTTCTGCTATCCTAAAAGCTTAAATTTTTTATCTAAAGGATACAATGTATACACTATGTTGTAAATCATGCTTTCCATTTTTTTATTCAGGCAAAACATTATCTGGGTGGAGAGACACAATGTTTTATGGATCATCCAAGTCAGTGTTGCCGTGATCAGTCTGGCAGAGACGTCCCTTGTCACTTATCTGNTATCATGATTACCTATACACATTCTCTTTCTTTCTGCAAGACAAGTACTGTATTTCAACAAGTTGTTTGAAATGACCATGGACATACGTCCCCAACCAAGAGACCCTTTCTGGAAGTAGTTTCCCCCAGTAGAAAACATCACATAAAAGGGGATAAAGTGCTTTGGTACCATACCATTTTCACTTTCTAAATCTGCGCTGCCTGCCTGCAAAGCATTATAGTATCGAATATGCAGCAGATAAATGTGTGTTCTTATACCACAAATGATCTCCATTAGGTAGCCTTCATATCTTGAATTGAATAATTGAAGGTAAATGTAGCATATATTATTGGCTATTCTGTTTTCTGTGTGAGTATGTAGGCGTGCAGGTCATTGAAGGGCCATCAGCCAGTTTAACATCTCACTTCTATAAAGTGGTATTCTCTGATAATGGCTTTTGAAGTGTTCTGATAATGCCCAAAATAACTGGAAAGTTCATCAGTGAGATACACACTTAAGTAGAGCGCAAAATATGCCATTATATTTCAGAATTAGGGAGAAAATATTTCATTATATTGACGGATGTAATGGCCACGTGTCCTTCAAAATTAGAAATGCCCACAGAAGAAATGCTCTATCTTCAACAATGGTTAATGCTAAAACATCCGTCCTGCTTCACAGAACTTGTATTGATTTCAACTCTGAGATAAATTGACTGGATCATTTAGTTGAACACTATTATTTGCTTAGTCAGGTGGTTTTTAGCTTAAGTCTGATTGTACTCGTGTATTGATAATACATCATGACTTAATTGCAATTCGAAATCCAAATAAATGTACTCCTGTTATAGATGAAAATTAACAACTTCATGGTAACAGTTTGTACAAATGTTTGCTAGAATAATTGGACTGCTTTATGTGGTGCCTAGAAAATACAATACTTGGCGACAAGTTATTTTGAAAAAAAAAATGTTGGGGAGGGTATACCTTTAGGAGTCATCCATTTTTATCATCATGTTTACAAGTGTACAAAGAGTAGGCTTGTTTCCATAGAGTACAGGGTGAAAAATAAAAAATGATTACCTTTGTCCAGCATACCCCTGTGGATTGAAGATAATCATTTTATTCTATTTTTATTATTTTTCCATAAGTGTACAGAGGGTATTAACCCTCTCCCTCCCCCACCCCCAGCGTACGGTTTGTGGACTTGTGAAAACAATGATAAAAATGGATGAAACCTTACTCAAAATACTTGAATGTGTATATATGATTATAAGTGAGTATGATACATATCATGTCTAAAATGTCTTTGTGTATTCCAGTATTGATCTCAGTAATTGTGATGCCAATGCCACAAAACATGTCTATATGATCCCGGATATTGAGTTTAGAGAAAATCCAGTCATAAAATGGTGAGAAACACATTGCTTGTATTTATATATTGTTTCACTGAAAAAAGGTCTTGATACATGACTAAAAGACTAAATTACTGTGTGAAAGTCACATGCTACATTATGCTCCACAATCTATGGACTTTGACAGCCAATGGACCTAGGAATCAGGAAGCTATGATAAACAATAGGAAGTTGCTATTATAATCCACAGTTCCTAGTGTTTACCATTGCGCACTGTTTCCTAGGTACTACATTCAGGTGCAAAATCACCATTCACATGATCAAGGTCCATAGATACATGACTCTCGTTGCTTTATCTCTCTGTCAAGAATTGCTCTGTTTTGCCATCTTATCTAGAGGCCATGAGAAATCTTTTCCATAGAAAAATTTCCATTTTGACTTTTATGAAACTATGATCTAAGTGCAAAAAAAATTGCCATTTGACTTGATTGTGTCAATACGGATTATTGGGTATATAGCAAGATCTATACTCTTTCAGAATGTGAAAGATAAAAGGGCACAGGCTCGTAATGAATGCAGTATCTTCATGAGTTGACCCAGAGATGTTGACTTTGTGCATAGCTTATGATTCTTTATTGATAGACTGAATTATCCTTTTGTTGTTGCAAATAATCTACGCCATATGAAATATCATTATTTTCTAAGAAATTCTGTCTTTGATGGACTTGTCACATATTTTGAGTGGTTTAAAATGAATTTAGATTGTGAAGTTTTTATGTTATCCCTGAATTTTCCCTGTACTTGTTTTTAAGTATGTTAAAATTTAACTTTGCTTACAAATTATATAACATTTGAAAAAATGAATATTACTTTCACAGTGTTAAAAAGTCAAAAAGAGCCAAAGCTTCTGCTATCCTCAAAGCTTAAATTTTTTTTATCTAAAGGATACAATGTATACACTATGTTGTAAATCATGCTTTCCATTTTTTTATTCAGGCAAAACATTATCTGGGTGGAGAGACACAATGTTTTATGGATCATCCAAGTCAGTGTTGCCGTGATCAGTCTGGCAGAGACGTCCCTTGTCACTTATCTGGGCTACAAGGTATTTTTCTCCTCACACAAATTCCATGAATTATTCCACTGCTCTATTAACATTTCATTGGCTCATTGGAGTTGTATTTCATTGGTAGTTGGGCTGGCATATCTTAATAAAACTGGTCCCAGTGGTCTTACTGATGATGACTAGCTAGCACACTCTGGGCAGAAAATCCCATTGTAATGAATTGAAAAAAGTCCAAAAATAGATTTAAACTCTTAGACCAAAATTTTGCCTACACTGATCCAAGTTAAAGCAGCAGCAGTAGTCCAATTTAATGAAAAATTTTATCAGATTTGTTTTATAACAAGAAAGACATTGCCCATGCTTCTTCAGACCATGTGAAAAGCCAATCACAGACATACAAACTTCTGAAATCCAGGCATTGAGAAGGTTAACCCACTTTAACTGAAAACTTAATGGACTTTGTGGGGCCTTTGCATTTTCTTGCTCTGGCTTTTCTTGTAAATGAATACAAGCAAATTTCTACTGCCTTGTTTTAGTTGTTGATTGCAAATTTAAAAAAAAGTTGATTTCTTCAATTCCCTGCAAGCTGAGCACTGAGCTTTGAGGTCCATATGACCTTGACCTAGTTGTTTTATCAGTGTTTTGTAGGAAGAACCACTCATGAATGTGTGTATTGAGAGAGATCATGAGAATAAAGCCTAATGATAATTAGAGCATTATAACTTGGCTTTGATGGATACACTGTGATCTATTCTAATCTTCATCCGGCAGCCCTTAATCTCTTAGGGGTGCATCTGAGCGTTTCAGCTGGCGACAAGCTTTTTCAGGGGTATTTATGGTTAATTTTTTGTGTTATGTCAAAATCTCCTGGGTTCCATTAGGGCTCTTTTAATGATGGCTAGAACATAAATAATGTAGATTGCTTATTGATTTTTAGTTAGAAAAATTGTCTGATGAAATTGGGATAATGTAGTGCAGACAAACTCCGTCCGGGTTAATTGTCAAAAAAATCAGACAGAGCGTGCTCTTTAAGTTTCTCAGCTTCTGCTTAAATCTCGAGAGTATGAAATAATGAAAGTACAGACCATGATTTGAAAAGTTTTAATTTAATGTGAAAAGAAAAAGGCAATAAGAGTTCAAGTGACAAGTCACTTGGATTTGACTCTGTGATAAAGGCAGTTTGTATACATGTAGAATATGCCTCATAGATATGGTCAATAAGGACTTAAAACATGGCTGAAGATACCAGGAAAATTCATTAATTTCATGTTTGCATGTCAAAGTCCTGTTAATATCTCCTCCATATTGTGCAGCATATAAATGCATTAATGAAGTAACTTGCATTGACAAACACAATATTCAGGTTGATTGATGTTTGGCCAGCTATATGGCCACTTTTACATGTATAAATGCCACACTGAAATTAGAATTAATAAGTGGTCATGAGATAAATGTGTAAGTCTGCAATTGATTGTGAAGAGTACTGAAATATGACACAGCCAAACTTGTATTTATAATAAAATAGTTTTGTGGGGTTGCAGAAAGGCCAAACTGACAGCTCCTTTTAGAGAGGTATATGTACCTTGACTGTTGCAAGTAACCACAAAACCACAAATACCAGAAACAAAAATTGTTCAAATATATGCATTATTCATTAATATGTAAAAACTCCTTGATGGAAGAAACCAGAGGTCAGTTGATGTGAGGTATATTTAACTTGTAGTCATTAGTAAGTTCACAAGAGCACAGCACCAGCATTTTGAAATCATGTTTTGTCCAAACTGTTGCACATATATAGAATGACCAGCCTATAATTTTATTTCTCTACAATATAGCAAGAACTATTGCTTATGGTTATTTTAATGGGTTCCTTTCACATTTTTTATCAGGGCTATAACATGGATAAAACACTAGGACAATTATGCTGCCATAGATATGTTACAGTATAACTACATACAATCCATATATTTCCCATCTGGACATTCTTTGAAATGATTGTTTTCATTCACAAGGTTATCTTTTTGTTTCAGGGCAATATTCTTCAACAGATCCTGTCAGTTGGATTTTTCCTGGAAATCTGCAACACAGTTCCTTTTATTGTCACAGTATGTTCTAAGTCAGCTGTTCTTCTTCTTCTTATTATTATTATTATTTGGCTGTGATTAAATAAATGGGTGCCAACACAACAGATAGAGTGTATAACTATTGGAATATAAAAACCCACTTGTAAAATCTTTGAATGTCTATTTATTTATTTATTTATTTATTTATTTATTTATTTATTTATTTATTGTGAACTAGAAGTTTGTAAAGCCAACTTTGTTGGATGGTTGCTAGAAAAGATGGAAAAAAAAGGAATTAAAAGTGACCTGTCCATATCCTTCAGGTTTGCTGGCCAGACTGGTCTGGGTTGTTTATTCCCGTGTTCCTGAACTGTTGGCTGGCCAAGGATGCTCTGGAAGAAATGTTTGTAAGTGGCAGATTGGTTAAGGGCAACTTGTGGGGAAATGAGGCTTGCTGGGTGAAACTCTGTAGTAGCAGTTTGTATCAATTATAAAGAAATTTACTTAGTTTGAGATTTACAAGTGATATGTATTGGGTTTTTATTTACATGTGTTTAACCTTGGAGATTTTAAATTTAAAATAAGGAAAAGGTTGTTTTGGTCAAAAGGGCAGTTGCTTAAAACTTTCAGGCATTCAATTTTCATGAAATAATCTTGTTTTGGAATGGAAATTGTCTGTTCGTCGCTAGACCCTGTGTTACTTTTCTCAACAATCTCTGTGTCAATTAACATATTGTCTACAAGGTGAGTGTTAGTAACTGTGAACTGAGAAATATACATACTTTTACACAAGATCTATGTATTGAGGCCAAGGTGTGAGTTTACAGTTGGTACATTTGGTTTGCAGTGCAAGATGGCATTGTCATCACCATAATTGGGGTTTCATAAAGAGAAGGGAGCCGCACTGTTGCCCTAGCATATTTTACCTGAGCACTTGTGTCTGGTTTCCAGGTTCATTTTTCCAAAAATGAAACTGGCAGGCAGAAATTATTGTCACTTTTCAAAAACAGACCTGGCAACCAGAAACTAGTGTCATTTTTCAAAAATGATTTTGGCTCCCAGAATGAGAATGGATTTATGAATTTCAAATTAAATATTTTTTTTTAGGGTGACCTTCACCTAGTGATGCAAAAGTCTCATTCCGCTCTGTCTCAAAGGATGATGATTCTGTGTGTGACTTTTGCTTGTTTGGTATTTACAAGGTATAGATATATTCTTTCCATCCATTTATATAACACAGTGGGAACTTCTGTGTATATGTAATTATTTTCCTTCTTTCATAATTTTTATCAAATTGTTTGTAATCATCTTTTTTTATAGTCTTAAACTTGATGAATTTTTATTTAGATTTCCTTATTGATAAAATGGTGTGATTATGATCAGCTGAAAGTTTATTTTTAATAATTTGCGTTTTGTATGAGATTTGCACTCAGTACATCTTATTCAACATATTTTTGATTCGACTTCAGTTGTTTACTTAACAAAATTGTAAAGTCTTTGTTTGTTTTAAAAGCAATATTTTAAAAAGATGAGAAATATTTATTGGATATTATTGGTTTTCACCATCAGGTGTGTGTGTGTGTGTGTGTGTGTGTGTGTGTGTGTGTGTGTGTATGCCTGTAATTTGTAGATAATGACAACTTATCCAGTTGTCCATTTTCATTCTTCAGCATGTGTGGTATTCAGCACCTTCAGCGAGCAGGGAACCGCCATCTTGATTTGTTTGACTCGCTCTGGTTTGTGGTGGTTACGTTCTCCACAGTAGGATTTGGAGACATCACTCCAGATATCTGGCCCAGTCAGCTGTTCATGATCCTCATGGTGGGGCTGTCGTTTGTGGTCTTGCCTATACAGGTAGGTCACTATAGAAGTCACTGATGAGACTTTTTTTGACTTTTGTTGGAATTTCGACTTTTTCAGGGTCATTTGGTTCATTCTTGTGAATGGTGTACCCTAGACCCCCAGCCAATTTTTCTACTTTTACAATGGGGACTGGTCTTGACCCTCATAAGTGCTCATTCACAATGAAACTACTTCTAACTTCTATGTTGATTGATTCAACTCTTGGCGATTGTAATCAGACGAACAGATTAGCATACCTCTTCATGTTGTTGAAGAGAATATAGAAAACTTGGTGTTTATATGAGAGCTTTGGAAACAGGAGACTTGTAAATCTTTTAACCTGAGTGCATTCAGTGAGAGTCTCCACGGAGTTGGATCAATGTATGTAGAAAGGTAGTTTCATTCAGAATGAGCCCTAAGATGGTCTGCTTTTTTGTGGCCATCATTGTAAAATTGCAATACATTTTATCTTATAAGTTTGTAATTCATTTCAAGATATTTGGTCAATTTACAGTTCCATTTCAAGATTTTTGGTCAATTTACAGTTCTAGAGCTGTTTTCTTGATCATTAGAACATTAGAATGTGCCAAAAAAAAAACAAAAAAAAAACAAAAAAACAGAGAAGTATTCAGTTTTGTATAAAATATTCAAAAGTGAGTACAGAAGGTGCTGGGGTGGGTTGGGAGTGGAAGAGGTGTTATGAAAACTTAAAGAAAAGATGAGTTTCTCATCATTTATTCACATTCCCTGCTATACCTGATTGTTTTCCAGATGCAGCAGCTGGCATTCACTTGGATAGAGCGTCAGAAGCAAGGAGTCACATACAGCAGCAGACGTGCTCAGAATGAGCTCCATGTTGTTGTTTGTGCCACAGCACTGCATACTGACACTATCATGGACTTTCTCAATGAGTTTTATGCCCACCCTCTGCTTCAGGTAAACTGAATCTCTTACAAGGCTTCACTGAAACATGGGTATATTAGATCAGTAATAAATAAATTAGAGAATTGCACAAACAGGTATTTTGAACATTTTTAAATCAATTGTTTTGCTGCCTTTTGAGCGCTCTGTGTATGATGAAAATAAATTAGTAAATACATTTTAGAAAAGTATTTGATTTATAATTTTAATATGTAGAGAGGAATAAAGGAAATTAATTAATTTCTGTTGATAAGAAATAGAACTGTAATTTTACTCAGTGACTTCAGATATTTTTTATCAAATATCTATCTATCAGATATTTTTGTCAAATATCTATCTATCTATCTATTTATTTATTTATTGTGCATTAAGTCCGTAATCTGCATCCCAAACTATTTAATCTGTAAAACATGACACAAAGTCTGTCCCTCACCTCAGGATTACTATGTTGTCTTGCTGAGCCCGTGTGAACTTGACCCCAATCTCAAGGCCATCCTTCAAGTTCCTATCTGGACACAGAGGGTCATCTACATCAGGGGCTCAGCGCTGAAGGATGTCGACCTTTCCAGATGCAGGTAAACACAGACGTGATTTTTTTCCTGATTTGAATCAGAAACTCAAGTTTTTCTTAGCAGTTTTCTGACTTGAGCTCTCTGGTTGTTAGGATATTCAGCCATTTNGAAATTGACCCTTGACCTATCTTACAAAGAACTTAAATTTGATTGTACCATATATATTTTTTGCAATAGTTAAAAAATTCTTGTTGATTGCATTTTTACAGCTTGTCAAGCAACTGGTGGCTGTGTCCCTTATTTTTTGTATACGAATGCGCTTGCTCCAGCTGGTGGTACAATATTCGGAGGCGGTATCGCCTCTCTGATCCTCTAGTTAATTTCTGTTGATAAGAAATAGAACTGTAATTTTACTCAGTGACTTCAGATATTTTTTATCATATATCTATCTATCAGATATTTTTGTCAAATATCTATCTATCTATCTATTTATTTATTTATTGTGCATTAAGTCCGTAATCTGCATCCCAAACTATTTAATCTGTAAAACATGACACAAAGTCTGTCCCTCACCTCAGGATTACTATGTTGTCTTGCTGAGCCCGTGTGAACTTGACCCCAATCTCAAGGCCATCCTTCAAGTTCCTATCTGGACACAGAGGGTCATCTACATCAGGGGCTCAGCGCTGAAGGATGTCGACCTTTCCAGATGCAGGTAAACACAGACGTGATTTTTTTCCTAATTTGAATCAGAAACTCCAGTTTTTCTTAGCAGTTTTCTGACTTGAGCTCTCTGGTTGTTAGGATATTCAGCCATTCTTCCTACTTTTTTTACAACACAAAATGTGTAGGCAGAAGATAATTAGTTCTAGGGTTGTTTTCTACCGTCATGTCATTGTTTTTTTGTTTTTTTTCGTCTCCTCCCAAAGACCGTAAAATTTTCTCTATAACAAAGTGTTTTATTGCATAACAATACTTGAGGTTGAAATTTGCAATTAGCTAAGTACAAATGGCTGTTGATAAATGAGTGCTCCATGTGCCAGGCAAATATTATCTAAAACTAATGGATAAATGATATAGCTGTAAGCAACAGATAGCCGATAATTAGTTAGAAAAAGTATCACAAGAGAGCATGGATTTATGACAGCATGAAGATTTATACAGTAGCATGTTTGCAATTGTTTATAGATAAAAGAATGTGTGCAAATGTTTGTTACTGTCTTTGTTTCAGTCAGAATACCTAGAGATATCAAGTAGCTTCATTGATAAACATTTTTCCTTTTGTATGTTCTCATATATCTCTGCATGTTTTAGGATGCAGGATGCTGAAGCCTGTTTTATCTTGGCTGAGCGCAGCTATGCAGACAGAAATGCATCTGTATGTATGATGACAAGTATTATTACATATATAAGCTTAATGGAGGTGGCAGTAGATGCAAAAGGCATATATTGGGAATATGAATCATTTGAAAATTTTCCAGCTTTCTGTAATTGTGTTTTATGAGACTTGCAGTATTTTGCATGTTTAATAGTATTCAGTTTAGAAATAATATTTTTAGAAAAATTGCAGTAAATGTTTTTTATCATTTCAAATTGGATCATTGTGGTATATATATATACCAAAAATATCCTTATGGGTATAAATATAAAACTTTTGAAAATGAAATATAGCTTTTTGTCAAAAATTACATTTTTGTGAGTTTCTGAGAATTTCACATGGGTTACACTTTAAGAAAATTGAGGCATTTGAAAATTTTGAATAATTACAGTATTCTTTTACTCCTCAGGACCAGCACACCATCCTGCGCTCCTGGGCTGTGAAGGACTTTGCCCCTAACTGTCCTCAGTATGTGCAGATCTTCAGACCAGAAAACAAGCTGCATGTGAAATTTGCAGGTATGGTGGCCTGAAAATGCCACACAGTGCATGTTTGCATGTTATATTTACAAGTAAGGTGGCCTGGAAATGCCACACAGATCAGAGATCTGATATTATGGAGATAAGCATTATGTGTTTTGAATGTAGCTGTTGATCTTGTTTCTTGGAAAAGTGCATTAAGTAGACTTTTAAGTCTACTGAAAAGAAATATTCTTATCACTATTTGAAGAGTAAATAAAGTAGTTGACTTTCATTCTGTCTCACACAGAACAAGCATTACAACTGGATTCTAAATATTTGAATGCAATATTTGTTGTGTTATTTGTATAAACAATGGCATCCAGAGCAGTGTTTCTGTGACATTGAATTATCATAATGATAAATGTGTTTTATTTTTCAGAACATGTGGTCTGTGAGGATGAATTCAAGCATGCTCTCCTGGCCAACAACTGTCTCTCCCCGGCCATCTCCACTCTAGTCACCCTGCTGTTACACACCTCCAGGGGGCAGTGAGTAGCAGTTGTAACCAAGATGTGCACATTTTGCTTGGAAGATTTAATTTCTTACATTTTTTTAAAACTCAGATAAAGCATCCGTTTTCATACTGAACGTAAACTGCAGTGTATATATCTTTTTAGAAATTTTGCTTCTTTTATGTGACAGGTTTTGCTTTTCATTGTGATAGTATGTATTAATTAAATGACAGATTTCCCTTTTTCAATGCAAAGATCACTCTATGGATGAGTATTTATCCTGCATGTTGTATCTGGAGACATGTATATTTCCAGAGAGGGGCAGGCATCCCAGGAGGAGTGGCAGAGGATATATGGAAGATGTTCTGGAAACGAGATTTATCACATACGCCTATCAGACAGCAGATTCTTTGGAGAATACGATGGGAAGAGTTTTACTTATGCATCTTTTCATGCTCACAGGAAGTAAGTTACTTCAAACTCATCCTTACAAACTAAGTTTGTGGCAAAAGAAAAATTCTGATCTGATTATGAGAACAAAATTTTGTTGCAGGCCTGTAGCTAGTAATAGCGGGGGTTCTTTTTCTGAAAAACTTTTTACTCCTTTTTAACCCCTTAAATGATCCATATAGAGAAATAGCAAAGAAACCATATCAATGTTTGCTACAAAGTAATTTTTTCAACTAGAAGAGCAGTTTTTTGGACCCCCTCAACCCCAACCTCCCCTTACCAATGGAACTGGCTTTCATGAAAACATGCTGTTCTTTAACTATTCTCTCCAGGTTTGGTGTGAGCTTGGTGGCAGTGCAGCAAAACCTGCCAGGGTCCAAAATCCTCCTGAATCCAGGGCCGCGGCACATCATGAAAGCAACGGACACCTGCTTCTACATGAGCCTGACCAAGGAGGAGAACTCGGCTTTCATTCTTGCCATTAGTGATAAAGGTCCAAGGTCCACTACCAGGTTAATTCCCCTGAGTGGACAGGCCACCAAGGTGGCTAGTATTGTAGCACAAGTAGGTAAGCTGATATAGGACGAGGGATTTTTGAGATACAAAATAAAATTGGAACTTGCAAGTGTTGTAGTACTACACTGTAAGATGATATAGGTAAGTAAAATAGTAAGTAGATTAAAAAAAAAAAAGAAATATCACTGAGGAGACGTTCACTAATGTTGCCAGAATTGTGGTATTATACTTGAACAAAGAACTAAAAAGTCATTAACGCTTTTATTTGTAAATAATATTTCTGAGATTCCTGGAATATTATAAATGGTTGCCTGTGCTTTTTAGGAAGATTATATATAACTTGCCTTTCTAAAAGCTTTGCAGGATATGTAGAAGTAGAAAATGTGACTTTGGGATATTTTCAAAAAGAAAATATACCTTTAAAGATTTTCTAGGAACATATACTAATTCATACTTATAAAATTGTCACAGGCACTCTAGCGTTGGAGCTGCAGCACACCAGGTCTTCCACCAGTATCAACACACAGGGCAATGCCACCGATGACCCCGAGAAAGGAAATGTGGACCAAAGTAAAGGTACAGGCAGTTCCAGTCTCGTTCATTGTGAAAATTTCCCCTCCATTTTTATTTGATTAGAACTCTGAAAGGTAAATGTGATTGGCCCTGAAATGATCTTGTGTTATTGAGTTTAATTTGAAAAAAAAAAAAACTTTTTTCAAAATAAGTTTGTCACCAAAGGAAGGAAAATTTTAGGTACATGCCTGGAATTTAACAGTTAAACCTATTCCTAATTTATCATTGTCTGGCAGGTCCAAGGTGTGCAGTGTAAAGTGCTAGTTTAGAAAAATAATTATACTAACTAATAGAAGGAAATAATAGATATAACTACTAAACTAGTAGTAGTATAGACTTATGTTGATCTAAACATTTTTGCAACTGATAAGTCACTTATTATGTACAGACACAGATATGTCTGAACATATAGCCATCACCTGCATCTTTCATCATCGTCATGGCCACCGTCGCTGTGCACTTTCACCAATAACATGATAAGTGGATTGATAGTTCAAATTAGAAAACCCGCTCTATTGGATTTTCATTTTTTTATTGAATTTTTACATCTAATTTTACATCTTTTGTAAAATTTTCATTTTTCTCTTTCTGGCATTTTCTAAGTGTGAACTTGAACTGTCCTGGGTCTGAAGCCTTATGCTTTTACTTTCATCAGTATTACCTGTTGTGCATTGTTAAAATTTGATGTTGACTATGCAGTTAAGCATAATACATTATTGCATCATATAACTGACAGTATCCTATTTTGTGCACTATTGTTTTCTGCTTTTTGTCTGTACATTTGGCAGCTTTGCTGCCTTGTTTTGCTTTTGTTTTTTGTGCAAGAGATATGACAGACTTGCTCTATTCTTGATATAATTGTAACAACTGTCATCTTTATTTTTCTTGACGAAGATTATGTAACTAAAAATAATAAGCTGAGCGTGAGTAAGTAGTTGTGCCGTTTAATGACCTTGACCTTTCTGCCTCGGTGAATTGTTTTGAACAAAAACCCTGTGTGATTTTAAGCTTTTGATTCCATGTGACATTAATAACATATTCCTAGGCCACTTACTAATAAATTCAAATTGATGAGTCATCCCATTTCAATCAACTAATCATTATCTGTTTCCCCCACTTTTAAAATTCTTGATTTCAGATGATTGCTTTGTTGTATTTGTGTACTCTACCTTCCCTCCTATTATCTCTAACCTGTATGGGCTCCATGTCTTTATGTATTCTTGCAAATTAGAACTTTAACATAGACCTGCAGTTTTAGTGGGGGAAAGCTTTTTCTGAAAATGTTGCATTTTTTACCGCGATCTACATGTGCTTAAAACCTACTGCTAGCATAAAACCTAGATCAAAATTTAATTTACAGGGAACCATTTCCCAACCAAAAGGGTAGGTCATTCGATCACCCCCCCCCCACACACACACACACACAAACACACACTTATACACACACAAGCATGAATGCTCGCGTGCACACACACCCAAACACATCCACCCCCCCACACACACACACACACACACACACACACACACACACACACACACACACACTACCTCATGACATGCACCACCTTGTTAGATATGCAAGATGCTAAATGTATTTTATCTCTGGTTATGGAGCCAGCTCAACCAGCTGCCTTTGTACATCCTTACCTTTCCATCAGGCCTTCAATAGTTTCATTTATAGATAACCAGGGATCAGTTTTGAAAGACGTTGATGAAAATTTTGGTGATTTCATAGAGTAGTTTTATGTAGTTGACAATCACGCAAAATGACAAATCCACAAATACTGAACGTGATATGAAAGTGACCTGAAGTCACCAAAAACTATTCAATGCTTTTGTTTCTAGATTAATTTGCTGAAACTAAATTTTTACCATGTGAATTTGTTATTGGTCAAAACTTTATTCTACTGCTGATTTGTTGATGCCTTCATCTCTTGCTAGTGTATCTTCCTACCTGTTTTTTACTTTATTCATTCTTTTTGACAGTTTCTTAATGTCATTGTTGGTAGTTTGTAGGAAAGATAAACTAGTGTAAGTTTTATGGTGCCTGCACATTTAAAGGTTGTATTACAGAATATTTTGAAATTGGTAGGATATCCTTTATAGAATTTGTCTGTAGTTTGAACTGAAAAGGGTTTTGTCAGAAACAATTATTACATTAGACAAAGTAGTATACTTAAATTAATTTTAAAACTTGTCCAGCATAACCAGTAAAAAAACAAAAAAAGCATGTTTTTCCTTGCTGTTGTTGCTAATGTATTCATTTTCAAGCTTTAAGTGTAAGTTGCTCAAATGCCAACAACTATTTCATTTAGAACCTCTTCTAGGGGCAGGTTTGACTATTCAAAGTCTGAACCGTCGCCCAAGTATAGCGCCAGTCCCTGCAGTCCTGGAGGCCCATGGGATCAATATCACTGTGGACTCAGACTCTGATACTGAGGCAGAGAGCCAGATGACAGATGAGACTGATGGATCAGAGTGAGTCATTTGACCAGAAAGAGAAAATATTTTTCTTACAAATTAATAATATTATATTATAGGATTATTTATTTTGAGTTTGATTTTTTGATAAGTCTTTATTATTATTATTATTTTCTTTGGGGGGGGGGATGTGATGTAGATGAAATGACATAAATATTTCCCAAAGTATAATTATTATCACTGAAGTGTCATTGTGTGTTGTTGCAAAATAAAAAGAAAGTCAGTGTTGTTTTCTTTGTTTTCAGCATTTTCCCTGGATTCCCCCCTGTTGCCCCATACATTGGTACCAGTCCCACCTTATGTCACCTGCTGCGAGACAAAAGACAGCTGTGCTGCTTACAGCTTACTAAGGTTTGTAACTACATATAGAAACTTACAGTATAAAAAACTGCCTTCCAAGCAGAGATTATAAATATTGCTCTAAGGTCATATGTACATGTATACTGATGCCTGCATAAAGTTGACAGTGTGATATTATGTAGAGTGATTGTGTGTTAGATATAAGGGTGAAAGACATAACTTGATTGATGTAGTCATGGGTTTGGGTTGTACACATCTCTCTCTCTCTCTCTCTCTCTCTCTCTCTCTCTCTCTCTCTCTCTCTCTCTCTCACACACACACACACACACACACACACACACACACACACACACACACACACAGAGAGAGAGAGAGAGAGAAATATACATCAATACATACAAAAATATTTCAGGAGTGCCAGCACTGTAAGGCAGTGACAGCTAATGACTACAACTGGAGTAGCAAGGTGATCATTCTGATAGCAGACAATGCCAGTGTGGGCATCTATAACTTCATAGTGCCTCTCAGGTCACATTTTATACCAAGCAGCCAGCTACATCCTATAGTACTGCTGCTGGAAAGAAGGTAGGGGTATTAGAGAGATACTGTTTAAGGAATTTGGATTTTTTGAATCGTTAATTTAATTGTAATGAGGAAGATCAGCTTAGTTTTTTTTATCTATGTAAAAGGCAAAATTTGTCCTAGATTTATTNCGGAGGCGGTATTGCCTCTCTGATCCTCTAGTTTTGATTCGGAGTTTATTTAAGATGTCATTTTATTTGTCAAAATGGGCAAAAGAATGTTGGAAGATGTTAAGTTTTAAACTATGTTCTTATGTTGTTGGCATCGGATACTTGAGGCCCAAATTACAGTATTTCATTCAGATTGTAATAGATTAAAGTACACCAGTTATTCTGCAGGAAAGACTGAATGTTGTGCACCCAGTACAAAGCTGTTGGACTTGTTTCACCACTTACACAATACTGCCATGTTTCACAACTAACACACTGCAGCTAAGTTTCACAACTAACACAATCCTCATATTTTTCAGACCAGAAGAGAAATTTCAAGAAGTGATCAGCTTCTTTCCTCTAGTGTACTGGATGATAGGATCTATGGACAGGTAATTGTTATCTTTACTGCTTCATTTGATATACTCTTCTCAAGATTCTGTTTGGCTGTTATCACATCTTTTGATCTTTTCAACCTTAGGCTGGACAGTTTTTGAACCTTTTAATATTTTTTCCAGTCCTAGGAGTTGTAGTCTGAAAAGTTATCTGTATTGTGTCTTAGATGACATGGTATGAACTATGCATAATTCATAACTCTGTATTGCTTTATCTGCCTCTTTTCTCATTATTTCATGTTTAACCAATACCTTAAAATGTGTTTCTAAAACTGTTGACCATGATATTGTTTATCAATCACTATAATATTGTAGTATTGATGACCTGCTGAAGGCTGGTATTAACATGGCAGACAATGTGGTGATAGTGAACAAGGAGAGTTCCAACTCTGAGGAGGATGACTACCTGGCAGACTGTAACACCATTGTGGCTGTACAGACAATCTTCAGGTTAGATTCTTTTAGAGGGTATCAGGACAATTCCCCCCCGGACTATTCCCCCCTGGACAATTCCCCCCCAGGACAATTCCCCCCCGGACGATTCCCCCCCCGGACAATTCCCCCCCCCCCCCCCCCTGGGGGGGAATTGTCCCAGAATCCTTTTAGAGCAATCCATCCTGAGAGTGCAATGGATTTATTAGAATACACACAAATGAGTCTTGTTTAAATTTTCCATGATTACACACACTGATTTTACGTTTTTTTTTTTTTTTATGAATGATTACACTGTCTGTTAGCTTAAATTTACAAACATTTAATTGATATGTACCTGTTTGACCTAAAAGTTTTGTTTCAAATTGTGAGATTTTTTGTTTGGTTTTTTAAGGAATATGGCAATATTGTTGAAATTATGCATTGCATAAAGCAGTCTTTATAATATTCATAACTAATAAAAGAATTCCAACCCTATAAATTTGTTACGTACACTAAATATTCCAATGATTTTTTTTTCTTTTTTCAGTAACTATTGATACAAAATGAACTTTTTGCCCACAGTTAATTTGTTACAGTGGACCAGAGATTACTGATAAACATACAATATATTGCTTTTCAACTCTTGCCTTATCTTCTTATTTGTAGGCTATTCCCGAATGCCAATATTATAACAGAGCTCTCCCAATCCTCCAACATGCGCTTTATGCAGTTTTTAGCCAAAGACAACTATTCCCTCAGTCTCTCCAAAGTGGAAAAGGTAAGTGAAACTTGAATAAGTGGGTCACTCTAGCATGTCGTTGTCAAAATTTACACGTTTCAATGGCTTGGACAGAGTCCATTTTAGCCAAATGATCCCGACAGTAGATAATACTATTTCATTTAATGCCCTTTTTATTTACCAATTTGGTAATTAAGCAATGTGATATTGGCTAAAAAGGCTTTAATGTAAGTAATGGAATAAATCCACACAGATTATGCTGGAGTGATCAGGAAAAAAATGTTCCACAGAAAGTGGGAATTTGTGATTTCCTGCCAATTTATCAGACTTCCTCGTTGTCTGAGGAAATTGGCCACAGTGCTGATATGTTAATGACTGCCTCACTGCTAAAGCCATCTACACCTCAAGGGGCTTAGCTTTCTTTAATTGAGGTTGCTTTAAAATTATAGGAATACATGTATGCAATGCTCAATAAATCTGATTTGAACCCTATTGATTATCAGATGCCTGGAGACCAAGCAGCTTGGTGGCCATGTCCAATTGTCTGACATCTATTGCAGCTTAATTTTTGTTTTGAATTTATATTCCTGAGGGAATACTGGTTTAATTACCAGACTTTCTCAATTTTGTGTCATAGTATTTAAATTTGCTTGAAGAGCTATAAAAGAGAAGTGAATTTGGTATTTGTGGAAAAATCCAGTTGCAAATGAGCAGTCAGACACTAAAGTTGTTTAAAAGCTTAAAATATAATTTTATTAAATCAGTGAATGAAATATGTGCGTAGCAGTTTTCCTTGTTCAAGTGTTCTCAGGTATCATTCAATCATTTGTAAATAACATCCACTACGCTTTAGTTTTCCAATAAACAATCTGGTAGCTCTTGAGATCAGGTGTTGGAGAAGCTTGTTTTTACCAAGTGTTAAATCATCAGTACCAAAACATAATTTGCACTTGCATTTTAGAGTTTATTAGTAAAAGAGAGCAGACTGTCAGAGTAGGCTGGAATAAGATAATTGGTCATGAATTACCATATGTTGACAGTGTCTATTTTGAGAGAATGAAGAGGAGGAGGAGGGACACACCATGAGTGACTTTTATCATCCTTTCATTGGCTTGTTTACACTTTTACTTTGTCACAAAAGATTTTGAACTTTTGAAGGAAGTAAGAGGTTTTTAAAAAGTTTTAACACACTGGCTGTTTCTCGTTTTAATCCTAAATTTTAATTCAAATTATCTTTTAATACACCATCTTATTAACTGTTTTGTTTTCACTTCTTAAACTTCTGGATTTTATTATTAACATTACTTTTTTATCACTTTTAAGAGCTCCATTAGTATTCAAATATCTGAAATATATATTTTACATGTGCGTGTGTGTGTATGTGTGTGGTATTAATGCTCAACCTAATAATCTATGGGAACAGACATGAACAAGGACATGTTGGAAAGTTTAAAAAACACCCCCTCTCTTCTTGAGCATAACTTGAGCTACATATGGGCTAAAAACTAGACAGAAATCTTTTGGCTTAGATGACGGAAAAGTGGTGGTTATGGGATAAACAAGTGCCATGCATTTTGATCTCACTTTTTGATATTGATTACTGCTGATAACTGGCTCTTTACCGAGCCTATACTCATTAAAAACAGGATGCACACACTGCGGTTGACTTACTGGTGGTATGGTCTATTAGGTAAATGGTGATTGTGATTCTTATTATACCTTAGTTACCATTTGTTTAAGGAGCACTTTCAAGGAGACATTAAGGCGCCTCTCAATTCTTAGAAAAAACAATCAATTGCATGCCACATGCATTAAAGATGACATCTGTGATTTGACTTGTAGGACTAAATGGCACTTTTATTTGGTTTCCTAATTTGCTTAGCTGAAACTTTACTGGATGAATGAAATATTTATATAATCATATAAGCATTAGTTACTATAATTTTTATAACTCAGAGATAAAATGATAACAATTAGGGGTAACTGTATCTTTCATAAGATAAAATGATTTTGTGGTTAGAAACTAGCTTTGAGACTGTAGTATTGTTTTGCATGTTGCAGCAGAATGTTCCAGTCAATTTTGTTTCTCATTGAATGGATGGATGGAGGTTTTGTCTGTTGATTTTTATCATTTAAGCTCTCTCTCCCTTTCTCCCTCCCTCCCTTCCCCCCTCTCTCTCTCTCTCTCTGTAAATGTGCAGAATTAGAAAGGCCAAATATGAGATGTGGATACAGGTGAGCTTTTGTAGAAACACTTTGCATTTCTTGATTTGTTTTTTTGAAGAAATATAGGTCAATTTAACTTTCTTCACAAAGGCGCACATACTGCCCTGCAATAAACGTTTAATTCTTGAGTGATTTGTAACTGACCAAAAATTTGCATATTTTAATTAATTAAAATTATTTTATTGAATTTCTATTAGATTTTATATCTAGTAACAGCTCCTTAGCCAGCGATTTTAAAAGAGGGTCTATTTCTGATAAAGTGGACCTTTTAACTAGATCAATTTTTGCCAAGAGTGGACATTTTTCTGGCCAAAATGGCAGTTACCTCAAACCCCTGAACCCTTACAGGCTATAATTAAAATCAATAGTAATGGTAGTATTCAGATAAAGTTGAATATGTTTTACTTTTGCAATAGGGTTATTAGAAGATGCAGTGATGGAAGAAACCTGAAGAGCCTCACAACATATTTAATAAAACTCATTTTAGATCATAACAGGTGTCTGTTAGGTTTTAGTCATGTGTGATTTTTTTCAGTCCAAAATTAAAGCTTTTCAACATCAGATCATTGGCTATTGATTATCCTTATGGAAGATTCTACACAGTTGATCTGTAAAAATTGGTGGCCTTTTGGGGACTTTCATTCGATTTCCTTTAATTTAAAAGGCAGCTGATGGAATAAAAAGATTATACGTAACTAAAATGTCTGATCGTCCTGCTGTAAAGTTCACTGAAATAGTATTATTGAAGAACATCGTGGTGCTTTCAATAAATGCAAAGGATTGACCAAACTTAGAAATGAAAGAAGGAAATAGAAAAATTAATTGAATGATGAGCTTTTGTGCTACTGCAATTTTATATAATTCTGAACATGCAATTTTGCATTGATGTAGTTGAACCAGGACACTCTAGCTTAATTTTATTGTCTGGATATGGTTATAGAAGAAAAGGATATATTTGGCACCCATGATTCATCAATACAGAAGGAATTGTCAGGGAAATAAATGAAAAAGCACTCTCTCTTTTCACTGGGAGAGAACTGAGGCCTCTCTCACATGAATAGAAAAAGAAATTACAGAAAATATACCAATTAGGCTATGAGTAATTTGAATATCTAAATTGATTGGGAATGACGCAGATACGCTGCTGACAATAAGGCAGTACTTATTAACAATTTTGGATAGTGAGTCTGAACAAGGAAGCTTATGATTAAAATTTTGTCATTCTTTGTCACAGCTGTTGGCTGGTTTCAGATTTTTTTTTCATATTTTGGTTGTATCGCCTTGTTTTCTCTGGATCAGCATCAACTCTCAACCCCCAAGGGCGGCTAACAATTTAGAATTTCTCAGTATGACTTTCCATACAATTAAACATTAATATGTTGCCTGCATTGTTTTGCTTTCAGTTATTACCCATCCTCAATTTGTATCTGCTTCAGACCATGTGCATTTAGTGATTGACGAGGAAACAACGTGGATATATGTAAACATTTTAATTGGTTGACCCGACGTAGGGACATCTTTCCTTTATCTAGCAGCCGCTGATCTTGGTGAATTGCACTGCATGATCACGTGTAAATGCTAATTCATTTGTCTGTCAGGTGAAATGAAAAAAGGCCCATGCTAGGGAAAATAACCTGAAAGAGGAAAGAAAACATATTTGAAGAGTAATTAATCCTGAATGGCCGGATGTGATTTGGAAATTGTGCTGTGGGGAGAGAAGCTGAAATAGCCAGGCTTAAAATTATGTAGTATCGAACTATAATGAACCTATTTTTTTCAAAATTGGTTTAAGATAATTGCTTTTTTGTGGACATTTCCCACTTGCGTGATGAATAAATGTCAACAATTGAAGTCTAAATACAATTGTATTTTGTTGGTGATGAGTAAAAAATGAGCGCTTTTGAAGCATAGGAGAAATGTGCACTTTGGAATTGTGTTTTTGTAACATTTTGAAAATTCCACACCAATGCAGCTCCTCATAAACTATTTTATGTAGAGCCCCAAGCATTCACTGGATGATTTTAATTAACATTTAGACCCTAATAACAAAATATGATTGGATGCCAATAACAAAATATGATTTCTAGTTCAATTGATGCATTTTAAATGTACAGGTTTTAAGCTCTGGTAAATGATTACAGTTAAATTAGATGATTATTTTGGATGCTATTTCTATGTCCTAAGTTTGTACAATATAGCATGTCTGCTGCTATCCTGAAAAAAGCAAATGTAGCTACCTGTAAGGTATGGAGTTTAAGAATGGTAAATAGATAAAAAAGCACATTTTAATGAAATCTGGGCACAGACAATATCAAAAATCATTTCTTCCCTTTTAAGGAATTTACTGTCATAAATTGGCTTGGCTGAAAGACAACCTCTGCTGATTAAAAATATTTCGCTCATTGCAGTATCTTCTTGAAATGTTCCTGAACCTCAGATGTTGAGTTTGATTGTATATCATTTACTGAGTAGGATCTGTGATCATGCAGATACCTGGCCATTCTACTGAGAGTTCTTGATTTGGAATGTAATTATAAACAACACTTGGGAATTGTTGGCCATTTGACCTAGGTTTCTTATCTGTTTATTTACAATGATGGGAATCTATTACCCAACACTTTTGCCTGATCTTAAATTTATCTGTACACTAGATAGTAGATTGATTGAAAATTATTCCTTTACCAGAAGCCTTCAAAACTAAAGAATTTCAAACCTTCATTAGTCAATTAAACCTAAGCTAGCAAGAAGCCTTTGGATAATGGAAACTTCCTGCAACAAGTCCCAAGAAGGCCTTCAGACTTGCTGACTCGCAC